GTATAGGTAGCAAGGTCGTTTCGTTTTGTCTAGACATCTAGATATAGTAACTGCATTAGTTTTTATATCTATGTAGATAAGTGCTCTTCGGGTTTTTCTACAGGTATTTTTGTTCATTTGTTTTGTTGGATCAGTCTTTGAAACTTTTAATATGTTTTTTGTATCTAAGTTAAAGTTTAGACAACTTCTAAGCCTATATGTATAGGTTAAAAGAGAGTAAGTGAATCTTTAACAAATAAAAATTTAATACATATGAAAATCATTAGTTCTTTTAATGATTCCTGTAAAGGGTTTCATAGTAAATCCATAATACTTTCGTTTTTTTTCGTAAGTTTAGTTTTACATCGTGACTTCAATTAGATTTTTTCCAAAAATATTTCCCCCATATTTGTGCAAAATGTCGTGGGTTCGGTTCAAAAACGGAACAATCCTTTGTGTGTTCCACAAATTGTTTTCACAGGTCTAGGCGTTCGGTTATGTGTGTATAAAATTATATGTTTGTTAACGCACTTACGACATAGTCTCCTGTGACATACAAATTCTTCAATATAAAGTTTCAGAAAAAAAACCAATTAAAAAATAATTATTCTAAGGTACGTGTGTCTTATAATTACAACAACTGCGTACGTGCATGTGCAAAGTATCCATTTGTTATTTACACACAAATACATAAATCCTCCTTTAAACACATTAGCACGTGTCCATAGCACACGCAGCCAATTTACTACTTAAATCTCCATAAGAATTTTTACAAACACCCATCTGCACTTCAGTCAGTCGATTATAATTTTTATCCTGCTAGACACAAGACCTTTAAAAGATGCAGTAAATAAGTTTGTTATGCTTATTCATTCTAGCTTTTCATAATCTTTGTTTACTGGTTTTAGAGCTCAAAATCGTTTGTCTGGTAAATGGTGGTTACTTATTTATTAGTCATAACTTTTTGTACGCGATTATGTACATACAAATACGTTACTGAGGGTACCTAATAAGCCACAGTATCATAGTCTAGATCAAAGGTAGTTTAAAGTTTTCTGAGTGAATTACGAAGTTCAATATAAATATGAAAATCTGCGTCCATTAAAAGTAGGCACGTGTCCACTCGTACGGCTCATTTATCACGCTTTACTATAAAAAAGAAATCACTGCAGATTGACTTTGTAATAAAACAATTGCATCAAAATCCGTTGCGTAGTTTTAAAGATTTATGCATACATAGGGTTAGTCAGTTAGAACCTGACATCCCTTCTCGCCCCAAGAGAAAAGCAAATGATGATTTTTTTCTTTAAAAAACACACTTAACAACTTCCAGTGGGCCTATATTTAGGTACCATGTCAGTCAGTCTTAACTTCCGCACTACAGAGCAAAGGCCTCTTATCAAACGGTGAAGAAATTAGTATAAATCACCACACTTACATTCAAAAATATTTGTAAATATATAAATATCTATAAACTATTGTATATATTATACCTAAACAGATTGCAATGGTTTATTCTCGTTATCGATAACTTTACATAACGCATTCAAACGCAATTACTAAGCACAATTCAATAAATTCGTACACTAATGGTTCTCTATAAACCAGTGTATGTTGACCCTTCCTATAAGTAAATGAGACTTGGTACGCAAAACACAACTTTGTTCAACAAATTAAGTTTTCTTTTTAGAATATTTTAAATTGTTAGCACTGAAGGCGGCCGGGCCGGGCGAGAAAGAGGGATGGAGCTATACACCTTTTATAGCTCCATTCCTCTTTCTCGCCTGGAAGATTGACACGTCATGGTAGGCCCTCAGACCATAAAGCAAACCATGTAAACGCTGCTGTCTCTGCGGGGGTAGTCATTCTTATTAAATCTTATTCAAATTATTGCACTAAGTAGGTATAATATCAGCGGTCGTCCTGTGTGTACAAATAAATCCAAAGTTATAGAATCAACCTTCTTTATTATTTTCCAATTCCCATCATACATTTTAGGTACTACAGCGGCTTTAAGTTACTGTCTAAGGTTGTGTTTGTCCCAAAAAAATATTTTTATTCAAGCTAAACTACGTACCTACTGCAACCCAGCCTGAAGCACGAGAAGGAATTGGGTCTTTTTTTTTCCAGTAACAGATGATTACACAGTCTCGCTTCACACATTCCAGAATAAGGAATAATAAAAAGCTCACTTTAAGCCTTCTTTCTAAACATTTTGGATTCATTTGTACATGTGCTCATATTTAGAAAACATCTTGAAACTGTTTACAATTGGAACCAAATATTCTTAGCTTACTACAAAATCTGTCATGTCATCATGTCCATTTTGAGAGTTCAAGATATACTGGTCGTAGTGGTCGTATTCCACAGTTCATTGGTTACAAAATCTTACAGAATTTGCCAGAGATACTTACAATGTAATTGTACTATTCATAACGAGAATAAATTGTGTGTAATGATGTTATGTAATATGCCAGTTCCTGATGCCTTTTTGATGGTAAAATATCAGCAAAAATTTGTAATCATTACTTTTTAATTATGTTGGACAGTGAATATCATGTGTTACTTTTTGTTGGAGAATTCCAATTTCATCATTATAATCATTAGGTGGTTTTCGTCCGTTTGCTACTTATAGGCCACATTCAACACACCGTCATCATCATCAGCCTATATGTGCCCACTGCTGAGCAAAGGTCTCTTTTTACAGCGGACTTATAATTACTAATTATAAGTCCAGGTTTCCTCACGATGTTTTCCTTCACCGTATGTCAGCGGTGTCTAAATGATCATAAAAAGTACATATAGCTCGGCATATAAAATGTCACATTGGTACTTGCCAGATTTCGAATCCTCCTCATGCATGAGAAGCGTCTTAACCTCCGGGCCACCACGACCTCTTTCACTCGATCATCGACATTCAATACATAAAACATTAATTGTTTTTTTCTGCGAATCATTCAAATATGGCATCCATCTTTAAGTCTTGAAAATATCAAGAGTAATTACCATAGATCGTTAAATCCTATTTTAAAATCTAAATAAATTTGTAAAACTAACGATAGTGTTTATTAGAGAAGAAAGAAAGAAATTTGTAGTAAATCTTAATAAAAGCATGCCATTTAATTATAATAATTTAGATAAGTTGCTGTGCCCGACAAGACATTTATTTATTTCTAATATTTTACTTTACACACAAATTTAAGGAATGCAACAAATAATTTTGACTAGAACTTAAAAAACAACCAACTATAACTAATTTAAGGCTTACCGACATTCTGTGAATACATCGACATAAAATTTTTCACCATATCATTTTCAACACTAAAACTTCCGATAGACAACGCCATCTAGCGTAGATAACCTCAACTAAGAGTACGTAGAGAAGTGTCAATAAACAATGCTAAACATTGCTTGGATGATTGACAGTCAATAGCGTGTGACAGTAACTAAATACTTGTGTGAAAACGTTCGCGTTGACTCTTGTGATACAGTTTAAAATGTATGAGAAGTTTACACTAAATCTTTTAGTTCAATTTATGTGTATTGGGACAATAACAAATGACAATTATAAAGGACTTAAGAAATGTAATTTTATTTTTATTTAAAATTTAATGGTCTATTGTATATTACACAAGTGGAAATGAGATAGGTACAAGGAGGAGTTAAAATAGGAGATTCCTTTAATTTTATAAGGGTTGGTATTTGGCCGCTTTCTAGCCTAGTAGTAAGTGACGATGCGACCTACAATGAAACACCCATAAGTAGAAGAGAAGTCATGCAGGTTACACCTTTACCATATACTCCGGCAAAGAATTGTCCTTTATTTGTTGAATATCTACCCTACTCTACCTACCCTACTTTACCTACCCTACCCTAACTACCCTACTCTACCTACCCTACTGTACCTACCCTTCTCTATCTACCCTACTCTACCTACCCTACTGTACCTACACTTCTCTATCTACCCTACTCTACCTACCCTACTTTATCTACCATACTCTACCTACCCTACTCTACCTACCCTACTCTTTCCTATCCTATGTTCTTCTCCTGGCTCTAAACTACCTCCCTGCCAATTTTCATCTAAATCAGTTCAGCCGCTCTTGAGTTAAGTGGAGTAAATAACACGACTTTCTTTTATATATTATAGATTTAGATTGGTTCTAATAATAAAACTGGAGGTCAACCGCTTCATGCGTAAGGTTGGGATACCCATCGTGAAGCGAATTCATCTATGATATACTTAAACCTTATTTACTTAATATTCTATCATTTTTCTCCAGTAAAAAAAAATAAGCACTTTCAAAAACTGGATTCCATTAAACGCATGTGGCGCCCTCTAAGCAGGATGTGTAACAAGGAACAACTGTGCAAGTTGTAACTCGATCGTGAAAGGAAATCATTGTGTTTCACCATCAATTAGGATTCTGTATTAATGGATAGGAATGTTCGTTGCGAATTTTATGCTATTATTTCTAAGTGGGAGGTCTTTAGTATGTATTTGTTTTGGTAGAACCCACTCTTCTTTCGATACATTATTATTACGATAATTGCAGCCAATACTATATGATAATAGAGCGTTGATTATATCGTGGTACATGTCGCAATTTAATTGCGTGAAGTTTGACTGAGGTTACCGGAGGCCCAACACAGTCCCCTACCCACTTCTCAATCTTCAAATCTCCTAACTTTTAATTCCTTATAACCCCCAAAAGTTGGCAACGCATCTGTAGTAACTCCTTTGGAATTACGAGTGACCATGTGCGGCGTCGTTTGCCGACCATCAGTGTAATCGGTCTGCTCGTTTGCCAAATTATGCCATAAAGAAAACCTACAAGCTCGACTACTTGAGGTATATCTAATGTTAACGGTGACCACTCCAAATCAGGTGATTTATAAGCTAAGACGTTTGAAATAACTGTATTTAGACTTATCTACCTTTCTTTTTTCCTATTTACAAATCTATCAACTGACGAATATTACGTTTGTTTTTCTAAAACAACCCTCTCTCTTGTTCACAGTGGATAACGCCAGAAGAATGTGCAGTATACAGCAGAGATCAGAGGCCGCCTCTGGTCATCCCCCGCATCACACAGTACAGGAACCCTAGACCGAGGGCACAGCCCTTTGGACAAGGGTACCATGAGGTAAGGAATACTCATTAATCTACATCGCATTCTTTCATTTGATAGGAGTTTAAAAACGATCCCATGCCAGGATCAGAAGGTTGTTCATAGATCTTTTGGCTGCCAAAATTGAAGCTATAATAAAAACAAGGACCTATTTAACTGGAACTCTAACATAGAAAGTAAAGAATGGATTATTTTAACATCTCGGCTTCAATTTCGTCAAGTGACTTCTCTCGCCCTGTTGGGGGAGAGAAAGTATCTGACTCTCACTGACTAGAAACCATCCTGTTTCTTCATCACAATATTCCGCTTGACTGAACCGCTACCCCGGTTGTCTCTGCTTCAGCTTAGAAGTCGAAAAAAAGTATTTTTTTTTAATACAGCCTACCTGACTTAAAGGTATCCTAAAGATACTTCTTGAGTATCACACTAGTGGTAAGTACTGGTTGTGTTTTGAACATAATATCATTTCCAATCATGTAATTCCTAGACGATTGCAAGTTAATTTCTCTTTAAAAAAAAACTAAAAACTTCTTCTTCACTTCAAGACCAAAAGGTGATATGCAATAATTAAAATCATTAAAACAGAGTTCATAAGCCTTACAACATTGCACACGCGGCCACACTAGGTGGTGTATTTAGCTAATGCGAGGCGATAAGGCACTGATAACGTAGCTTCTATATTGCATTCCTTAGCATGTTGTGCAAGGCAGGCTGCACTGCCATGGAATAATATTTCATACACAGAACAATATATATAGGTAGGTATTTTTAAACCAAGTTTTTTTCCTGTAAAACAATTTCCTTAGTTACATAGGTCATTATTCTTATTGAAAAGTTCGGATCACCTGATGGCTAGCCATCTGCACCCTACTAAAGAAGTTACAGGAACGATACTACTCTCTTGGAGTTAAGGGATGAAGATTGGGTGTATGCTAACCTCACCCACACGATGACACACATCGCAAGGATAGTTTGAAGCCAGTTTTTTGTTAAGAGATGGGTCATCCGTGTTGAAAGAAAATCAAAATAGTGACAAACCCTACTATGTAGAGGCAACTTACTTAAAATCTAGCCATGGACAGTCATATGATGCTGATAATGTTGATGATATCCTTGAAAGTTAAAAGGAAAGATATTTACAGAAAATCGTCGTTATTATAACGATATACCACTGTCTTGTCAACCCAGGGGATATTGTGGCCAAACAAATCAGCCCATTGTGCCCATTATAAAATAAAAAGAATATACAAACATGCAAAAATCTGTAAAATAGTACCTAACTAATTTAATTCAACCTCAATAATCAACTACAATAAACCTTAAAATGGGTTATGAACGAACATCACAACAATATAAGTACGTAATTACAAACAAAACCGCTAGATGTCGTTAGAATAGTTAAACAACAAGGATAAAATATTATAAAAAGTCATTCGAGTTAAATGGGAACAAAGTTATTTTTCCTTATAATTTAATGAACAGACAAACAAAATATAAAGTTGTTGTGAGTCACCAGGGTATGGTGCCATAGTGCTGTGTTAATTTGTTCGATTAATTCTTGTCCCGCTGTTAAATTATGCGCTGGCGCACGATGTGTTGTTCACCCGTACTAATATGGCGGCTTGCGAAGTAAGTTGCGAGCCGTAGGACAAGTCTGCAAGATAAGTTTACATTTAATGTAATCAATCTTAATTATATATTTTTATATTTAGGTCAGCAAATGATCATACGGATTACCTGATGGTAAGCAATCGGGTACTGCTCATAGATACCCGCAACATCAAAGGAATAACGAGTACGTTGCCGGCCTTTTACGGATAAGGGTTCGGATATTTAAGGATTGGGAAAAGATGGGGAGAAAGGGAAGGATTGGGCCACTGGTAATGTCACTTACACAGCGAAACACAATGCTGTGGTTATTTCAGGGTCTTCTGTGAAGCCGTTGTATCACTCCGGTCTATCCGACCCATTCGTGCCGAAGCTTGGCTCTCCCACAGCTGTTGCATTATACATTATATTTATGTATGATTAAATTACATCTCCGCTTTCCATAACTTCCAAAATAGCTGCATATCACCTACCACACGTCTCTACAATACCAAAAGGATGACTGGCAGAAAATGCTGCTAACATTAAGTCCTCCGATATGCAAGAATAAAAAAAAAATTGATGACTGTTGTTTGAAACTTTTCAATCCATTCAAATTCCCATGAGTGCAGGCTAATACTATTATCTCTTATATGATTCTTCGGTCGAGCAAAGTACTTGTTTTAACTTTAATAATTTTAACGAAAAATTTTCGTTGAATTAGGAACTATCCTTATTGGAAAAATCTATCACATATTGCAGTCTACTGCAATTCCTGTAAGATAATCAATTAATAGTTTATATAGTAGTGATAAACCATAAATATCCACTGAAATCTAAAAATCCTCTTCTGAAATCCAATACATACTGAACAGAATAAAAATGTGTCAATATTGTACTTCTGCTAACAGAACTGCGCAATGTTCAAAATGGTATGTGGCGTTCCTTGACCAATAGCGTGCATCCGGCGCGCCCTTCATGTCAATGTATCGATACAATGCGCACGATTCATTTCGCAAAATTCTAATGGACTAAAGTTTTCAATGAAAACAGACGTCAGAACTGACTTAAACAGACAAAGGTGTTGAGTCAAAATAACATTAACAAAAGTTAGCTAAAGATATTTTCTGAGTTGACATAAGTACTTGACAAGCTAAACTAGACTAGACCCAGAAAAATTTGTGAACAATTTTTTACAAATATTTAATGGTTGTTATTATTATACATATACGACTCCATCTTCAGTCACTCAACTTATTAAAAAAAATCACATCAAAATCTGTTGCGTTTTTTAAAGATTTAAGCACACATATGGATATAAGGACAGAGAAAGCGATTTAGTTATGTTAAAGATACATAGAACAAAAATAAAAAATATATACTTAATAGATGTTTAAAAAAATATTGTATGCGGTTTTTTAACAGATAGAGTGACTGAAGAGGTTTTATAATGTGTATAAAAACAGCCATTAAATAATGGAAAGATGGAGACGGTTAGTATCAGCATTATACCCGTGCAAAACCAGAGTGTTGTGTTTCGCCGTGTGAGTGAGGTTACCGGAGGCCCAATCCTTCCCCTTCCCTAATCCCTCCCCAGTTCCAAAATCTCCAAATCCCTAATCCCTAAAAGGTCGGCAACGCACTCGTAACTCCTCCGTTGCGGGTCCATGGGCGGCGCTGATTGCTTACCATCAGGTAATCCGTCTGCTCGTTAGCCGACCTAATAAATTAAAAAAAAGAGCGGTTCGTATTCCATAAAACACCTCCCCGGGAATGCTGTAACAAATTCTAACCGCTATGAAACTCAATAGATATTAATGAATAATGAAATAATTAATGATAGAAAACAAAGCTAGAAGTGTGAATAGGATTCTAGTTAGACTGTGTAATATATGCATTCTGCAGTGTTAATATGCATATTAATGATATGAAACGCATTAGTATTAGTAGCGTATATTAAAATAGTTTTTCAACAATAAATATTGAATATAAATGAAATATTATCTTTTTATTAGGTACGATAGAATTTATAGTGAGTAAATGTAAATAATTTTGATCCGAATTAGGAACATGAGCTACTCAAAAAATTATTTGCTAGATGTTGCGCGCGACTTCGTTCGCGTGGAATAGTTACTTCTTGCAGATGTTTGGTATAAAAACTCAAATCTTATGTCCTTTCTCGAATCCCAAACTATGTCTGTACCAAATTTCACAGTAATCGGTTCAGTAGTTTAGGCGTGAAGAAAAGACAGACAGATAGCATTACTATCGAATTTATAATATTAGTTTGGATAAGGAGGGATTTGAATTTCAATATAAAGTTCCTGTGCCATCATTTGAAAAGAACATACCTATTTTTCTTAAAAATGAAAAGAATCGTCTTTATTGCTTTTACATCAGGGTTTAAAAATGGTGACTTATGAAGCCATAGTTCTGTTCTATAACTCTAATTGATGGTCTCTTTTACCACTGGCCAGGAGCGTTGCGTGGCCAAATTAAATGTACCAACATATTGTGATATTTATTTTCCAAAAAGTATTCAATTGTTTTAGGTGGCAGCTAAACCTGAATTATACATTGTAAATTAAGTTCTAGCCTTACTTAATCTTTGCATTAATAAAATTATGAAACTGAAGAGTTTGTTTTAACGCGTTAATCTCTGGAACCAATCCTGTAGATCGAATATTTTTTTCCTATAAACATCACGAAACGAAACGAAACATCCTTTTGGCTAAAAGGAGTCAAACAGTCTGATGTGACACTGATTTAAAAAGAATAACCATGGAGTTTCTTGCTCGTTCTTCTCCATCGGAATCTACACTTTAGAAAGAGCAAATAGTTTCACTAAGAGGACTGACCGACAGACTGACACTTTATATCTTTAAAATTTTGTTTGACGTTCGAAAGTGCCTGTATGGGTCTAATTGAAATAAATGATTTTGATTTTTGACTTTTGACAGAGCGCAAAACCGGGAGCTATGCATAACCTTACGCAATATAATATCTTAATAACAAATAGGTACCTACATATAGTTACCAGTGAGCAAAACTACAATAAGAAGTAACTGATTTAACTGGGCGATTTCCTTATACACGTACTTTACGTAGGACGCAACAAGAGTCATATTTCATAAGTATTAGGTACTCAAATTCTACTTGTAAAGACAGCATATGAAGATATACTGTTCTTAAGAACATCTTCAACTGATTTCCAACTTTAATTCGAAGGGATAAAGGTTGGAAATGTATTAGAGGTTTGAGGATTTAGGGTAGGTTCATGTGCGACTGACTGTTCTGTAGGCGGGGTCATTGCACTTTCTGTTGTGGAAGAAGGTCTTTAAATATTAATAAAATAGATTTCCATTTCAAAGGTTAAGTGTGGTAGAGCCAAGCTCCGGCTCGACCGGAATGATACTATGGCCTCACAG